CCCCAGCTGACTTCTTGCCCTCTGGGCAGGGGGCTGGACTCGATGATCTTCCAAGGTCTCTTCCAGCCCTAATGTCTATGAAATCTATGAAAATTGTAGACTCAGTGTGTTATACCAGTATCCATTCTACAGACAGCACTGCACATTTGCATAGCGCTCTACGTATCACCCAATGTGTGATAGCTACATTCTGCTCAGGCAAGAGAAACACTTAAGTGAATTTGCCTAAAAGACATGTTGGACCAGTAATATTTTAGCAGCACAAATATGAAGGGAGAAAAATTGTCAAGCCTGGTGTTATATCAGTAATAATGGAGAGGAGACTTTAAAGCAGTAGAGAGAGTTTGTGTAACAGGAGAAATGTTATCAGGGAACTTTTTATTGCACAGGCCATAGCTGGCTGGCAGCCAGGGGTGGGAGGAAGGTTTAAGGAAAGGGAAAAGAAAGGAAAAAAGTATAAATATGGTTCAAATTAAAAATGTAGTCCCTTTGCCAGGTGGACTTGTAGATCCAACTGCTGAAATGGGGGTTTGTATCTTGCAGCATAAGAATGCTTTAATTTCCGTGAAGCTGCATGGATGTATCAATGGGTAAAATGATGCATTTATATTACTTTTTTTTTTTTTTTTTTTTTTTTTTTTTTTTTTTTAAACTGTTCTGAGAGACTTCTGGGCTAAGTACAGACGGTCAAAAAGCCTGAGGCTGAATTGATTCAACCTAGAGATTCTTCCCTTCCAGGTTCCCAACCCCTTGCCTTAGCTGCTGTGAGTCTCAGGGGTAGCCCAGGGAGAAAAGGGAAATTCCTCTGCTCCCCTGCATTAGTTTTGCCTCAGACTTGTAGCAGCTATGGCAAAACCGGTGGTGGAGAAGCAGTGCCATAGCAAGCAGGGGGCAAACAGGGCGACCGCCCTGGGTGCTGAGGCAAAAGGGCGCCAACAGGTGCTGCCCAGCTGGGGTGGGGCATGGGATGGAGCCGCAAGCGGCTCATTTGGGGGGGGCATGGGGACAGGGGAAGGGCGCCTCCCACTGCTCTATGAAGTCCCAAGCAAGCGGGGGAGGGGTGCCCCCTGTATCTGTGGCAGGGTAAGAGCAGGCTGCTGCTGAGAGCTTTGCCCCGGGCACCAAACTTCCTTGCCATGGTACTGTGGAGGAGCAGGAGAATTTCCCTCCACTCCTTGAAGCTGCCTGAGACTTGCAGCAGCTGAGGCAAGCTGCAATGTGTTTTGGGAGGGGAAGAATTCCCCTCAGCTCCATGGGGCTGAGGGACCCTGGGCTGGGGGGGAGGAAGCTGCCCAAGGCAGGGGCTCCCCGGTGCCCCTATGCTGGGCTTCATGGGCAGGCACATATCCTGAAGGTCTTTTTCTCCCTCTCTCCTATGGCAGCACTGAAGCAATCAGCATCTGGGAAGGGGGAGGGGCCCCCACTACAGGGGCTTTCCCTCTCCCCACTGCTCTGTAAACCCTGGCTAGGGGCTTTGCCCTGCCCCCCTGCCCCATGGGCTGACAGACACAGGCAGGAAGCAAGCTAAGGGGCAGGGGGCAAAGCAGTCTGTGCTCCACTGGAACAGGCAGCATAGCTCAGGATTGCAAAGCATCCTGGGATGCTGGGGGACTGTGAGTGAAGTTGAACCAGGAAGGGGTCTGGGACAGATGTTCCATAAACTGGCTTGACCCAAATCAGTTACGTCTGATACTACATCCAACCAGGTTTATCTTAAACCAGTTTTGGCCATTTTGAAAGCAGTGTCTGTGTCCTGAACTTATGTTCTGTTACAGGTTTAAACCAGTTTCTGATCACTTAAACTGGTTTATGTGTAACTTCTGTCCCTAGGCTTGGTGGGCTTGACAGGCTGAGCTGGTTCTCACACTCCAAGTGAAACATCTATGTTCCCACGGTCCTGTCTACATTCTTTGTGCAATGGGCAGGAAGTTTTTATTTATATGTCAAACACCTTCTACCGAAGCTGCAGTGACACCAAAAAATAACACAAAACGGTAGCCTGCACTCCCAGTACTGTCCAGTGAACACTCCTGTGTTGTTTTTAAGAACCGTTAACCCCTGTGTACTATAAGGGCTGGAGAGTTTACGAAGCGGCTCCCAGAGATCTGCATAGCAAGGTATTTGACCCATCCTAGCCATAGGGACATTGGGAGGGGGGAGATTTTCCTGAACCCAGGGTCCCTGTGCATTAAGGCCTTTAAAAAAATATGTGCAACCAGTCTGCACATGCAGTTTCTGATATCCCTGGAGCATTAGGACCCCAGGATTGAGAAGCCTCCCATATACCAGGGCCCTGGGACCTCAAAAAAACTGCACATGCAGCTGAGCTGCACACAAGGTTTTCTGCCATCCCAGTGCACGGGGCTCTGGGGCTGACCCCAGTGCAGTTCTGCGGTTGGGACCTGTAATCAGCTAACAGTTGATCCCTGACCTTGGGACTATACTTGAGTCTCCAACCAGTTCCAGTGCAGTTCTGAGAACTGGGATCAACAATCAGCTGATTATGGGTCCTAAGCTCCAAGACCATTCTAGTTCATGCCACACTGCAGGCACACATCTTGCAACCTGCTGGCTCAAGGGGAGCCTAGGATTACGATTCCAGACTCCACCTGCACTGGCAAGTAATAACAGTGCAGTTGGTATCTGATTCTTTATCCCAAATTGCACATCCTGCCATTCACATGTGGCATGACAGGAGGCACAATTGCTGGGATTGGGGATCAGATCCCATTGCGCCATTAAATGAACATGTGCCGGGGGTTCAAAGCACCTACTCTTATAGGTTCTGCAGGTTCAGCTAGAGTTGCTGGCAATACTTACACCTCTACTGTGTCATGCCAGTGGGATCCAGTGAATTACACCTACTTAGGCTGTTAAGCTCCTTTCTTGAGCCTTCACAATACTGTGTCCTATGCAATGTTTTGCCAATTCAAAAGAGAAATCAAAGGTACCCAACTGGTAGATAAGAGCAGTGCTCTGTTCTGCAGTTTGCTCTCCAGCTTGTTCTAGTTTTCACTTTAAGATGAAGTACAAACCTTTTTGCCAGTAATTTATTCATTTCTTCCATTAGTCCTCCTCCGCCTCCACCGCTACTTGTTCGATTGGCATCACTCTTAGAGGCCCCACAGGGACTGGAGCCTCCTGAAACATCTTCTGGCTTAAGACACAAATCATCATTGCAAATCACAGAAAGGAATTTATATTGGGAACCTGCCTTTTGTGACAAGCTGAAATCATCACTAGGTGCAAAGGTTCATAAATGCAGCCTGAGGGCAGAGGCAGGAAAGCACAACCACATCAGAAAGAAGCCATATGCAAAAGCGGTCAAAACCAGTGCCTAATCCATATTTAGGACTGAGAAACCCACTGTGGGTTGGGTAAACATATGGGCAAGCCACAAACACAGCCACAGTGATTTTTGTTCATTCACGGTCAGATTCTGAGCACTTATTCACCCAAAGACTGAACAATCCAGCCATCGTAGTATAATTTAAATGATTTATAATAATTGTGATGGTATAATACAAGTCCATGTTCTCTGGCACACTTTGTAGAAGCAATGAAGCCTGTAATATGAGAACTCAGGGCAGTCATCTGCTAATTAATCTTTACTGAGCACTGGGGGCAAAGGGTAAATTAGTCAGAGCAAAACTCAGGGGGAAAAAAGGAAATTCCTTCATGACATTGATGAAACCAGAAAAAGAAACATGCTCTTATGGCGGTGAGACTTTGGTAAAATGATCATTATAAAGACCTGAGCTTTAAATATGTTATCTATCCTTCCACTTGTGTTTGTATTCATGTTCAACTCAGGGACACGTGGGTAAAAACTACTATAAAAAAAACACTCTCCTGTGCAGAGACTGTACGTATAACTGGGTAATCCTTAAAAACATAAGGTGAAGGTTTACTGAGATCAACATAGTCTTGACCTGGATTATACCCTAAATGTCTCTAGTACAACTGTACATGAACAAAGCTGAACCAGGCAAGTGATTTTTCATGGCCATGGAACGCACATGTAAAGCACATTTTACAGGGTTTGGTAATGCTTGCTGAATATACATGGAGTAAATCAGCAGAACATCAGCTCAGACAAGACCAAGCAAGTCTTACTTTGCAGTGAAGACAGGCCTACTGAGAACATCTTATGCCCTGGTCCTTACCCGCTGTACTCTCCGTAATTTGGCACTAGCCAGAGCTGCTGCGAATCCGGACGTTGACCCGTCATCAGTGCCAACCCCCTGTGCTCCACCTGCTGGCAGTGGAGGTGGGGGAGGCGGGGCAGCCCCCATTGGTGGAGGAGGTACTGGTGGGGGTGGCGGAGGCGGCGGTCCACTGGATGATGCAGGGATTGCAGCAGCAGCACTAGGATGACCAGGTGGAAGGATGGGGCCTGAAACAGAGGAAATCAATGAGAAATAAAGAATAGTGCCTCCCAGTTCACACATTATCAGGTTTTCTTTCCGCTGGCAGTCATGTGAATGAAGGCCTGATGGGCAATCAGTGCAAGGGTGACCATGCCATCAGATGAACGATACATGGGGAATGCATCAATGGTTCAACATCTGCATTAGTTGTCATATAAACTTGTGCCCTCATGTGGAAATCTGTAAGTGATACCCTCCTCTTCTCCCTCTTTTCCTGTGCACAAGTCACAACACAGCATGCCTGTGCTAATTCACAGGCAGCTGCTTTCTTCTATTTCTTTATTGTAACTTCCCATCTGCAGATAAATAAGGGGCAACGGCTAAGTTTGAACACAACATTCACCTCCATGAACTCTCAGGCTGTATGTATCATGCTTACTTTCCTGAAATACTGGTGGCTAAATTTAATGTTCCTGAAAATTAAAGGGCAAATATTGAACTTAGCCACAGCACTGGTGAAGAGATGTGACTGAAAGTAGCAGTGTTCAACTGATTGATTTAGCATGGTTACATGTCTTTATTTGTAATGCGTGGGAGTATATCATCAGGGGTAGTTATATCCACCACTACTCTATCTCATCATAGGCTTCAGTTGATAGTTTATTTTAAAGTCAACTGTGTAATGTATATTATTTTGAAGGAGGATTTTACTGGTATGAAGGTAAACTTTGAAGTGATATTTTGACAGTAAGGGCCTGATTTTTCTATCATTCATCACTGTGGTGGGAGGTAACATCTTAACATCGCAGCAGCAAAAATACTGCAGCAAATAATTCAACTCACAATTCTGCCTTTGCAATGAGCTCTGGGTGCCATTAGAAACACTTTAAATATCTTGATACCAATGTGGGCTCACAAGTACGAACTGGCAATTCACTGAGGACACAGTTAACTATAGTTGCAAAACTTCACCCACAAAACCAGAGGTCACATTGAGACCTCACTGAAAAATGATTTAATGATACCAACTGAATGAAGTAAAAATAATGGGGTAACCTATGCAGCTGGAATGAATTAAAATTACTTTATTGCAGTGAATGCATCTGCAAAGAGTAACAGCAGCTGCAGGTCCAAATCAAGAGGCAGTTGTAATATCTGTAGCAGAAAATTTGTCAATGAAAGATGCATGCAAGTGCTTCCTAACTTCTCTAGACATATCAATTAATGCACAATAACATTATTCATAGCAATGGATCCAATTTGCAAAAAAAGTCCTATCTGGATTTCAAATAAGCCCAATTCAGAGCTGTTCTGATGCAGGTTATCAGTGTAGAGAATTTTAAAAATAGAGTCAATATGCAAAATACAGATCCAGACTCAAGGGGCCTCTATGCTAAAAAACATTAGCCAGCCTAAACATTTTTGTGAACCCTGATAGTTTAGATGCAGTTTCTACCAACAAAGTGCTTATGCAGCTTATGCAACTCCCCCAGGAAAATATACTATAGTGGCAGAAAGGACTTCTTTCTGTAACTATCTACATTAGGGCTTTTGGTGGTATAGAAATCTTGGTAACAAGTCACCCCCCCGCCACCTCTAACAGACATTACTACACCAACATATGTTTCTGATAGAGAGCCTTAGATTTCAAACCATGCTAAGTTTGAAGTATTCACTTGGGTTTTGTATCAAGACTATTGCCAATTGCATGGAAGCCCACCAGTGAACATGCTGGAGGACCCCCTCTGTGAAAATGCGAAAGTATGAGAGTTTATTAAGCAGCTACAGAGCCTTGTTTCTTCAGCTCATGCTTTTATCTCTGGAGGTCCCAATTAATTCCCCCCCAGTGTTGGCCAAGAGGTAGTCGTTACACTAAAACTGAACAAGTGTGGGCTTTTTCATATTTCTCTGAACTATTATGTGCAGTACGATTAGTCTCAGATTGCTCAAAATTTTCAATTTCTTGTTCAGGACAGGGCAAACAGGGCTTTATAAACAATCAGTTCAAAGCTAAAGCTCTTTTAAAGGTTATAACTCATTCAAAACAAGTACTTACTCAACTGGGAAATGGTTGATGAACTCATGTAAGGAGGGGTCCTCTTGGACATATTCACCTCAGACACAGCAGCATAAGTGGGAGGTAACGAGACAAAGTGTGACATGGACTGGTATAGTTGCTGCGGAGGGTGCAGGGATGTCTGGGAGGACTGAGAAGGAGCCTGGATAACTGGCAGCTGGGAGATGGGCACAGTTTCTAAGCATGAGAAGAAAGACCCATCTGCACTTTCTACCTGGGTCCTATAGGAGTTTAGAGGAATTTGTGTGGTTAGAGGTCCTTTGGGTTGGCCATTCAGGCCTATCTGAGGTACATCTGCACAAGCTTCTTGGACCGTCATACCTGTAGAGCCTCTGATCCTGCCATTCTGGACAGGAATCACAGGAAGGACTACTGGAATATGTGGCTGCAGGACAAAACCCTTCTGTACAGGGGAAGTAACTGCTAGAGAAGAAGGCAGCTGAGGAGAGTAGGATAGAGAGGACCGCCTGACGAGCTGGCGAGAGGTCAACAGAAAATGGGAAGGTGGGGCAGGGGGCGGAGACAATGAGATTTGCTTGATGCTTTGCGTGACAGTCCTGTGGCTCGGCAGGACCGGGGAGGAGGAGGAACCCGAGGACGGCAAGAGCTCGGAGGCAGAATGTCTGTGGTGAAGCTGTGGGGAGTCTCTGGCTCTGGCAGAGGATCTGAAAGAGGTTTTATTACTGGGCTTGGGAGCAGCAGGTGCTGAAGAGATAGCTCTGGCGTAAGACGGTGGTGGAGGGGCTGGGTCAGCTGAAGTAGGTGCGCTGCAGTTATTGTAGTCGGGAGGAGGAGACTGGCAGTGGGAGGGGGAAGAACACACTTTTATCTGAAGGGTGGAAACTAAAAGAACAGAAAAGAAACATGAAAAGAATAACATGGGTATAGAGAAAGGCACAGCAGCAAGGAGAACATGGAAATAAAGAGCAAATGAAGCAGAAACTTAGAAAAAAACAAACAAACAAAAAAAGAGGATGGTGCAGACACTGATTTTGGTGATGCCCTGATAACCCCAGAAATTGAGAGCTGTTCCTTCCTTTAGTGCAAACCAGTGGGAAATACACATCATGCACCAGAGTTCCTGCTTTGAAGTTTATGAAGCTGTTTCTAATCCTACTCCTCAGCCTGAGCAAGATTTACACATTACCTTTGTTCCAAAGATAACAGCAAGTGACATTTTGAACACAGATGGGCAAAAAGGTTGTGTACAGCAGCAATGCCTCTGTGAATGCTGTGGTTTGCTCAGCTAGAAATTCCAGTGGCTGGGTCCCACTGAAAGGCTCCTTGCAAATCAGAGCCAGGGTCTAGTCTGTGTTAAGTGATGCTATATGGTACATAGTACACATCTACCATGCTCCCAAACATTGGGAGTCAAGTGTTGCCCCTCTCTCACTGCACTAGCTCTTTGTGCACATAATTTAGCTGATTGAAAATTAAAAAGCACTGGGCAAAAATAAAAAACCTCCTGCCAGATTCACACAAAGTTCTGACCTTTGTGCGGTTTTTTCATGGATGTAAAAGCTGCATTTTGCAGCCATAAAATTGTCTCTCTGCCTTTTCCCAAGTTGTTAATATTTAGAAAATATTTTTAAACCTCATTCAATATTTTGCTAGTAACTGTACGAAAATCACTCCCTTTACTTCCTGGAAACCCCAGGCTTAGGGCAAACCTTCAAGCTGGGGCTCTCTTCTGGGCTTTGGTCACTTGGTGTCACACCCTTGATGTGAAGGACCCCATAGCCAGCCACAAGCATCCCTCCTCTATGTGAATATGTAGAGAGGGTGACCGGGCTTTATCAGTACCTTAGAGGCCTATTAGCCCTGGGCACTAGTGGCAATGCCCAGTTTAGAGCACAGGATAATGGCAGAGTGCAAAGCTTCAATCTAACTTGCCTTTGTTGCACTTTGTGCGCCAAAGATCTGGGCCTTAAACATTAATGAAAGCAGTGGAATCAATGCAGCCATGTCCCAAGGTATTTTCTAGCCAGAAAAGTTTTGAAGTCCTAAAACCCTTACTGCAATATTGAGCATGCTGGGTACTTCAGTAACAACACACGGGCACCACCAGCAGCCAGAGAAAAGCATCTGTGTTGCTTACAAACTCTTGATACATACCTGTGGTAGAGGTTCTTCTTTCCAGAGACTCCTGGCGTTGCTGCTGCTGCTGCTGCTGCTCCATCACTTGCCTAAAACAAGGGTTTTTAAAATAATCTTGATGTATGTGTTACACTTTGGGGTAAACGCTCTATATGCTGAGATGGGCTCACGTCATAAATCTGAGATCTGGGAGTTATTTGGGTCAGTCCGTTATAGACATAATGGCCAGACCAAAATGGGCCAGTTCTGATATCATTTGCTAGTATATAGTTCCCTGGCTTTGAAAGCATTAGTCCTGATTTATAACAGTGGAAGTGAAATCACAAGAGAGCCTTGCACTTGTGGGGTACTAAAACTGCCTGCTATAGAAGCATGTTTCTTTGTGCAGGATAATTCTATAACAATATGAGGATTAGCAGTGAACTTAAAGCAAGAGAGCACTGTGGTATCTCAGCCAGCACTGCACTGAAGCATGTGATCAAGCATATGAGGAGTTCCAAAGACAGGCGGGCATCTGATGAGCTTAAAGTGAAGCACATCCCTTAATAACACGTGGATCTGGATCCACAGGACCTTCAGTACTAATAATAGGTTAAAGAAATACAGTCTGTATTTAGCAGTTACCTCTAAATCACTCACTGCTTTAGATAGCTAAATAGCAAGCTCCTTTGTCATCACCACAGAGCACCACAGGTGAGCAAAGTCTGGGATGCCCAGTTAAAAGAATGAACTTATAACACTACAAACTGCAGCCCAACTGCACGTGTGGAAACCCACTGAGGTCAACAGCTAAGTACAGACACTCAAAAAGCCCAAGACTGAATTGATTCAATCTTCACAGTTCAGGCTAAGCAGTGTAAATGGAACTGATAAGCAAGTGAACAGACATTCACTTTTGATTCCGGAAATGCAGCCACATGCCAGCAGTGGCCCAGGCCAGAAGTCCGGGGATGCCAGAGCACATCTCCCTGCTCAGCTGGAGCAGACAGCTTGGGCCAAGCCTAGCCCACCCACCCTGCAAGGTGGGGTGGGGGATGCATGCAGGGGAGGTGCAAAGCATCCTAGGGGTCTGCGAGTTAACCTGAATCAACAACCTGGAAGATGGCACAGAATGCACCCTCAGCAAGTTCGCAAATGACACCAAGCCAGGGGGAGCAGAAGATATACTGGAGAATAGGGTGAATAAGGAAAAATTCAGAGTCCTGAAATTAGGATGGAACACACCCATGCAGCAGTACTGGCTGGGCAGCAGCTCTGCAGAAAAGGACCTGGGGGTTACAGTGGACAGTAAGCTGAATATGAGCCAGCAGTGTGCCCTTGTTGCCAAGAAGGCTAACGGCATACTGGGCTGCATTGGTAGATGCGTTGCCAGTGGGTCAAGGGAAGTGATTATTCCCCTCTATTCAGCACTGGTGAGGCCACATCTAGAGTACTGTGTTCAGTTTTGGCTCCCCCACTACAGAAAGGATGTGGACAAAATGGAGACAGTCCAGCGGAGG